AAGTTTTATTAAGGATCCAGGTTCAAGTCGGATGCAGTATTTAACAGCAGGGAACAGCAAAGCACTTTGGTTTCACACACTTAGGTTTAAATTCTGGCCGTGTGACCTCGGGCTAATTGCTTCAACCTCTGGAAACTTCTGCGGTAGCGGACAAAGACACCAGTTTTGTCGCAGAATAAAATGGAAACATGAACTTTGCTCAATGCCTGGAACATGGTAAGACTTGAAGGATCATAATGCTTACTGTCATTATCCTTAATAAAATTCAAAGCCCAATGCTAGTAGCTCACGACTGTAATCCTAGCTACTCAGGAGGCTGACTACTCAGGAGGCTGAAAGCTGAGGATCAGGAGTTGAAGCCTTGGGATTCTTATCTCCAATTATCCTGCAGAGAGCTGGAAGTAGAGAGGGGTATGGCTCAAGCGACAGAGTGCCAACCTTGAGTGAAAAAGCTCAGGGACGCCGCCCAGGCCCTGAGTTCAAGCCCCAGTACTGGCACATAAATAAATAAGATAAAATAAAATTCAGAGGTCTGATTTCCAACCAGAAGTTTGCTTGAAAGATTACTATCAATAATACTAGGTTCAAGTTTTTTCTCTCTCCTTCCTTCCTTCCTTCCTTCCTTCCTTCTTGTTCTTCCATTCTTCATGTTTAAGAATTCTTTTGGCTTGGAGCTATCCTTTTTGCAAATAAAAGATCTAGGTTCTAGTTCTTATCTAAAAATACTCATTTGAAGGAACCCAACTAGAAATGATCCATGCAAAACTAAAATCAGTTAAAATCTTTAAGAAATTTCAATCCAGAAGTTCCCACTGAAACTGGGAAGCGACGAGAACCTTTTCCAGCCAAATTGCTTCCCAGAAGGCTGCGGAGGCCCTGGCCTGACTCAACGTTGCCCTGGCAACAGGAGAGAGCCCGCAGGGCCTCAGTCCCTGAGCCCTTCATCTAAGGAGCTGCCATACAGGGCGATAGTTAAGGTCCCCCTCGGCCACCTGGCTGCTTCAAACTGCTCTGACTCACTGAGGGTACAGGAAAGATGAAGACAAGGATCCTTCTGTCAGAGAACTGCCGCAAGCTCCCCCAGGGGCTTCAGCTTTTCCTGGTCCCCAAAGGCTCGGTTAAGAGAAGGCCCAAAGTCATCAATAGATTCTAGGGACTGTCAAGGCAGCAGGAACGGTTTCTAATCCTCTTGTATTTCTCCATGGAGCCCAGTCCAGTGCTTTGCACACAAGTGATAAATACTAGAGGGAAGTGCTATGTCTGTGAACTTCCTGGAGGGGGCCAAACCCACAACCTGCTCTCTTTGCTGCCTTTTGTGTCAGGCCCAAGCAGATCACACACTTAGTGTTGACAGCCCAGGATGACAGGGCTTGCCTGGTACTGTAACAGTTGAGCAAGGCCTCTAGTTTGGCATTTTGTTGGTTAATTGGAGATGGATTCCATCTTGCTTTGAACCAGGATCCTCAGGTCTCAGCCTCCTCAGCAGGTAGGATTACAAGTATGAGCCACTGCAGCCTGGCACACTTATTGTTTAAAAAGCATACAGAGCACGTTCTGCTTAATATATTCCCTCTCTCCCATGTCCTAAGTTAAAAAAAAAAATCTGGGGTAAAATGGAATCATTTAGAAGAGGAAATGACTGTTCTCTTCCCAACCACCACACAGGTCCCAGGGAGAGACGTTTGAGCCCGGCACATGTGCCATGGGGTTGAAGACTTGAGTCCAAGCCCTGGCTCTGCCACTACGATCTGTGATTTGAGACTACTTCACCTACGCAAAGGGCGTAACTACCGATGCTCTCTTTATGTAAAGCTATGGAGAAGCACATGTAAGGTCTTCAAAATTAAGAAATGTCCAACAAATGGCAACGATTCTTTCTGGGGCCAATGGTAATCAGCAAATCAGGAGTTTGAAAGTCTGCCTAATTAAGAGCATTCAAGAAAATCACTTTGGGGCTGAGAATGTGGCTCAGTGGTAGAGTACTTGCCTAGCATGTGTGAAGCCCTGGATTCGATTCTTCAGTACCACATATACAGAAAAAGCCAGAAGTGGCGCTGTGGCTCAATTGGTAGAGCACTAGCCTTGAGCAAAAGAAGCTCAGGGACAGGGCCCTGGCACTGTGTTCAAGCCCCAGGACTGGCAATTAAAAAAAGAAAAGAAAATCACTTTGAAAGAAAACCCAGAGAGCTAGGCTACTACCAGCACAAACTCTTATGTGGGGCCGAGAGCTGGGCTTAAATTACAGATTGCTCTGGCATCAGGATTAAATGTAGTTGCTTGGTCTGATCTGAACTTTTCACACTACAGTAATTTTTCTGCTTCAGCCTGAAGAAATTTCCCTCTTAGAGATTCTTTTTAATTTTTGAGTTTTTGCTTGTACCAGGGTTTGAACTCAGGGTTTTGAGCTTGTTCAGCTGGTATGCTTAATTGGTGCTCTGCCATTTGGGCCATAGCTCCAGTCTGGAACTTTGCTGGTTATTTTGGAAATGGTATCTGACTTTTCTTGCTCGGGCTGGCCTTAAAACATGATCCTCAACCTTCTAAGTAGCTTGGATTACAGGCATAGCTGGTGGCACCAGAGAGATTCATTCTTTTAGGATATAATAGTATCTGTTTTATTAAGTTTAATTGGCCATAAGGTAATAATAAAATTATTAAACTTTTGAGATCTCAGTACATGACAATGTCTTTTTTTCCCCTTCTGACATTGAGGCTTGAACTCAGGGCCTAGGAGACATCCCTTAGCTTTTTTTTTTGGGTCCGGTCATGGGGCCTGAACTCTGGGCCTGGGCGCTGTCCCTCAGCTCTTCAGCTCAAGGCTAGCACTCTACCACTTGAGCCACAGCGCCACTTCCGGCTTTTTTCTTTTTGCTTATGTGGTGTTGAGGGATGGAACCCAGGGCCTCTGGCATGCAAGGCATGCGCTCTACCACTGAGCCACCTTCCCAGCCCCATCCCTTAGCTTTTTTGCTCAAGGCTAGCACTTTAGTACTTGAGCCACAGCTCCAATTCTGGCCCTTTGGTGGTTGAGATAAGTTTCATGGATTTTCCTCCCCCAGCTGCCTAGATCCTCAAATCTCAGTCTCTTGAGGAGCTAGAGTTACAAGCTAGTGTTACTCAGCCTCCAATGTCTTGAGATATATCTATATATTCTTTATTTAAGTCTCAGAATAGCTGAACCTTTACCAATGTCACTTAAAAGATGAGAAAACTAAGCTGGGTGCCGGTGGCTCATGTCTGTAAGCCTAGCTACTCAGGAGGCTGAGATCTGAGGATCATGGTTTGAAGCTAGCCCTGGCAGAAAAGTACCCATGAAATTCTTATCTCCAATTAACCACTCAAAAACTGGAAGTGGTGCTGTGGCTGAAGTGGTAGAGCACTAGCCTTGAGCACAGAGGCTCAGGGACAGTGTCCAGGCCCTGAGATCAAGTCATACAACCAACAAGAACAACAGCAACAAAAAGATGAGAAAACGATTAACTCATTCAAGGCCAAAGTCACACCAGTACTGAAATCATCTTGGACTGGAGTCTGCACACATGCTAGTGACCATCTTCTATTTGTCAACGGCCTCTGATTGCTGGCAGAGATTACAGTGGGAAGCACGGTGGTGGGGGGAGCTGGGATACAGGGAGGGATAATTTGTAGCACAGGGCACTGGCCTGGAGAAGAGGTGGCATGGAGAAGAGTTAGGGCCAAGGGTGAGGACACAGAAGCACAGAGAAGCCCTAGCAGCTCAGCCACACAGAAGGAGAACCAGTCTTTTGCTATATTTGGCTTAATTCCTTTGAAGCCCAGATTTCCTAGGAAATGCAAGGTTCTTAGGCACCACTCCACCTGACCTCAGGGTCCCGGCCAGATCACATAAGTCACTCTGGTCTCCGACTCGGATTCCACCACAAACCACAGGGTCTCCACTGAAGTCTGAGCCCTTGGACTCCAAACGAGTAAAGACTTTGAGCAACAACAGCCTTCCGCCAAAAAGACACAAAAGCCTTCACTGCTATCTCTTGGGGCTCGACGTGCCTGGTGCCTGAGAACCACTTCCTGTCTCCCCTCGACCTTTACCTACCGCTCTGCATCTCCTGTCTGACAAGGTTGGTTTCCTCCGGCGCTGCGCAGCGGGGTCCCAGCTCCGGCCACCGTTCCTGATCCTGATCCAACTCAAACCCCACCGTCCCTTCCCGGCCGGCATCCGGGCCCCCTCGCTCTCAGGTTCGGAGGGTTTCACCCGGGAGCCGGCCGGGCCGCGTTTCCTGCGCACTGTGGGATGCGGCTCTGTCCGCGGTGCGGTGCGTGGGCCGCCGCCGCCGCGCACGGGAAGGGGAGGAGGGCGCGCGCCCAACGCTGCCCGGCCCTGCGCCTCGCACAGAACTCCACGCTCTCCTCCACGTGGACTCCAGGTCATTTCTGGAGGCGCGGGGATCCGTGGGGCTCCTCGGCCCGGCGCCTGTCCCCCGAGGGCGCCCAGCCGCCCCTAGCTTGGCGCCCGGAGCGGGAGCCCCTTGGGCCAGGGCCGCCACAGAGCCCGGCCCGGCGGCGCCCTGGCGAGGTTGCGCGTGTGCCCCGGGCACAAAGCTAAGGACGACGGGAAATTCGCGAAGCCCTGGAGACGGGCTCCCCCGTGCCCAGCACGGCTCGCTGCAGCCTCCCAGCCCCCTGGCCTTCGTGCATCCGGAGACGTCTGTACCCCTTCGCTGCCCAGCACCCCACTTCTCTGTCCAGACGGCCGATGCCCGCTGTCCGTCCCTGGCCTCGCTAGACATCCGGACCTACTCTGCCTCGGGCGGGCCGCCGCCCTGCAGCGTCAGGCCGCCGCCGCTCGTCCCTCTGCGGCCACAGCCCGGCCACGCGGAGAGGAGCGGCTCTAGGCACAGCTCCCTCCCCGCACAACCAAGCAAAAATGGCAAACACGAAACGCTCGTCTTTTTAAAAAGTACTCTATTATTATCAAATAGAACCACAGTATCCAAAAGGTGATTATAAAGTTCTGTCGCCCCCTAAGCGGCCCTGCTCGCCTGCCCGTGGCCGGTAGCCAAATCACTCCCCCCGCGCCGATTGGTTTCATCCACTTTATTGTCGAGGAAATTAACAGCCAGGCCCCCCTCGCCCCCTCCCGGGCCCTCGGGGACCCAGGCGCCGCCAGGCCGCGTCCTGGGGAGCAGGGGAGGGGAGGCGG